ATAAAACCTTATCTCTATATAGTAGAGATTTCCATAACTAGTAGCTATGACTTGCTTATGGTCATAGCTTATGGCAATGGTCGCAGACTCGCAGTCTAACCATTTTTTCTAGTTTAAGACCCATATCTCACAAACTACTTGCTTACCGAGGTTAATTAATCGGCTAATCAATCAATCTATGATGCATTGGTTTTGCTGTAAAAGAACATTATATTGCCACATTTTTCTTATCATTTGTTTCATATTGCAGCCCTTCAACGTTTGCACCCTCTCCTTTAGAAGATGCTTCCTGGCTTGTTAATTTGTATATAGAAAATTAACTGCTCATGCTGCTCATCAGCAGAAGCGACTGAAAGACGAGAAATTGGAAAGATTGTCATTGCAGCAGACTTGGGAAATTGATGCTTTTGATTAGCAAAACCATGGAGCCATTCACCAGACGAGAGCCACTCCAATGATAAAATTGCTTCCATGGAGCCTACAGCTTGAACATGACATCCTACGAATTAAGAAGCAGCCCTTCGCACAAGGAAAGCCTTCTGGATGGGTAAAGAGAAGCTCAAGCTGAGAACTCTCTTCTCCATCTGCTTCATCGGATTGAATCACCAGTGCTAGTAGTACTCGTATACTCAACTTCGCACCCTTCTTTACAGTCATGTGAATATATTTTGCGTTACGTGCAGTATTTTTCTGCGTTGCGTGCATCATTTTTCTGCTTTTTTTAGATGTATTAGTTGTTATAAGATGGGTTCACATTTGAATAATTTACTGAGATTGATTATATATATATATATATGTGGTTTAGGGCCTAAGAGAGAGAGATGAATAAAAGAAATGTCACGTGGAGTATTCAAGCAGGAAGGTATAAAATTTCTAGGACATACCCTTCTATCAAAACTCACATAAAATATCATAAAATGCTTAATATTTTAATCAAAGGACTTGTTTTATCATGAATTTTTTTTTTTTGGATTTTAAACATTTCAAAAATATTGTTTCTGAGATTATTTACATTAATATTCAAGAAAACTCAACTAAAAAGTCGAGCTTATGCTCTAAATTTATTAAGCTGAGTTTTTCAAAGGATTTTGACCCCATAGAATTTCTCAATATGAATGAACTAGCTTAAGGGGTTATGGGTATATATATATAAGAAACTTTATAAAAGATAGATATTACTCAATTATGATTTTTTTGGATTCGTCATACTAGGTCATTATATTCTATATTTATTTAGCAATTAAGTATTCATTTGGGACGGCTTTCTTACTGTTTCTTAAAACAGTTCCAAATGAAATCTAAGTTAATGGACTTATCATGACTAGGGTTTCTTTATAAGCAATTATGAATCAAATCATTCAAAGAAATCTTGTAGATTCAAAATCAATGATGAGATATAAATTTTCTAAACTCTATATAATATCGAGGAAGTATATTGGGATTATTTCTATTAGAGTTTGAAAAGATATATGTGAAACCCTTTAAGTAAAAGAAGCTAAACTCTTAAAACATTGAGACGATTTTTAATGTAATGGTTGTAATTTCATTAAAAAACTCTGCAGTTAAGCATGTTAATCTTAGATAAATCTTGGGATATGTGATCTCCTAGGAAGTTACAACAACATGACAAAACTATGAGACCCTTAGGCTAAAATGAACAATATCTCGATAGTTAAGAATTTGAACTCTTACAATATACATGAACATTACGGATGATTTAACTATTTGAGTCAAACTATGCAAATTAACCTTATAATCCTATCTCAATCAGAACCTAAACTTCCTAAATTATTTTTTACTAGTACATAAACATGCTTAATTAATTCATTATGTTAGCCAAGTGTAATTATACAAGTATACTTTATGGGACATTAATGATGCAAAAGTATCTATCTTTAAATGATAAGACATGACTAAAATACATGAGAGATTAGACTATGATATAATTTTATGAATCACCCCTAATTCATTTCTTATATTGTATTCTATATTATCAAAAGGTTTATAGATCATCATAGTTTAAAAATAGCTCCATTAAAACACGAAGGGACATGCTCATTTCTTTTAAAAATGGTTCAAAGATTATATATTAACGCTTCGTGTGAGACAGCTTTCTTATTGTTTGTCTTTTCAGACCGCAACTACAATTTCTATTTTGTCACTATTTTTTCATAATTTTTATAAAATTTTTGAACTAAAAAATTACTTTGTACAATAACTTTAAAAATTTACTCTTTTTATAACAGCTTTACAAAGTAATAAAAAAATTATCTCAAATGAAACATAAATTTTAATTTAAACATCCCAATTAAGTGTGTAATTTAAAATAATTATAATCACGTTAAAACTTAAATAATATACGATAGAGCCAAAATTTACCCAAATAAAAGGGAAAATGTTGACTTCTCCTTGAGACCACCCCAGCTTGGAGACCTCATTCTTGCTTGGCTAGCTTCAGTGATACTTTTTCTTTCTTTTTCTCTATAATATTCGAAAACTAGCTTTAGACAATGGATTAAGCTTTTTGAAATGTAAAATGCTTCAGATGATGCATGGGATCCACATGATAGATCAAGATGAATTTGTTTTGTTTGAATGAAATTTGACTTCTTTCACTATCGTCCTTTTTAGGTTCTGAAAGCGAATACAATTATTTTTTGTTCTTCATGCTTGGTCATCATGCACTATGGCTTGTAGTATTTTAAATCATTAACATTTATGTGAAAATATTTAAGAAAATAAAATTAAACTTTCGAATTTTGGACGCGCCTTTTAGTGTAATGGTTGTAATTTTATTAGAAACTTCAAAGTTAAGTAGGGTTGTATATGTCTGGTAGATGATTTTGGTGGATGTCAGTCATCTAAGGCTTCGTTTTGGACGACTTTTTTATTGCTTTCTAAAACGAAGTTTTAGTACAAAAATAAAAAATTTTGTACTAAAACTCCGTTTTAGAAAATAGTAAAAAAGCCGTCCCAAGGCTTCGTTTGGGAGGACTTTTTTATTACTTCTTAAAATAGAGTTTTAGTACAAAAAATTAATTTTTTTTAACTAAAACTCTGTTTTGAGAAGCAATAAAAAAGTCATCCCAAACGAAACATAAATGAGGGAGATTATAAAATTCTTTAAGAAAATAAAATTAAACTCTTAAATATTGAGGTACTTTTTGATTTAATACTTGAAATTTCATCAGAAACTACAAAGTTAAATGTATTTGTACTGGATTACTTCTAAGACGAGTGACTTTCTACGAAGTTATATCAAGAGGATAAAATCGTGAGGTCATTAGGTCAAATTGGATAATATATCGATGGTTTAGAGTTACATTGTTACGATTTATTTGTAATTTAAAATGATTTCTGATTTTTTTTTTTTTTTGAATTGGGTATCCACCCGCTGTCACCCCCGAAAGGGCACCCCAGAAGCCTTATGACCCACACTTGATTAGACCCCACTTAAGAGATGCTGCCTCTTGAGGGAAATCGAGTACGGGTTGGTGTGTTCTCAACCTACTCGCCCACCAATCAAACTAAACAACGGTGGATTGATTAACATGCATTGAAATTTAATTTTCTTGTTGTAATTTCTCACTCTTCTCAATGATTCTATAGTCCTCGGGTAGCTATGGTAATACAACTTATTACAAAGCGGTTTTTCAGTATGGTTCTTGGTTAGCTATACACTAAAACAACTCTTAGCTAACAAGATCGCAAGTTTGACTTGCCGAACCAATTCAAACTGCACTTCCTACCTCACCAGTTTCCAGCCTCTTCTGGAAACCATTTTCCCCGTTGCATGTCACAGTCTAGCTAAGAGCAGCCCTTTCTAACCCTTCTCTAGAAGAAACACAGACGCCAATATGGAAACGCAATTAAATGCTAAATTTTGTAAAAACATAAGCCTAAAGTCCCTTACATCCATTATGAAAAGAATGTAATATTAAGCATTTGTAATTTTATTAATTTAAATTAAATTAAAAAATTTAATACCTGTTTTGACTTAAATTTGTTGATCTAAATTTTCTACTCAAATGTTAAATAATTGTGGTGGGTATTAGAATATTCGTGGCGGTAAAATAAGAAAAAGTTCGTGTTTTAGTGTTGCACGGTTATTCAACTCACAAATAGTGAATATAAACATTAGAATTTTTTACTTGGAAAATCCTGAAGGAAAAAATCATGGGATCATACCCAATTGAAATGAATTCATTAGCATATGAATAGATTACAAAAATTGATTCGTCCTTGAACTTGAGGATGATCAGATTACAGTAGTCAATTATCGGGTAGAAATCTAGCAACAAATAAGGGCCAGACAAAAGTTTAGCAACATACGGTCGATAGTGGGAAGAGAACTCCAAATTTCTCTTCCTTTCCTCTCCTCCTGCCTTCCTCACCCTCAGTGAAGAATGAGGGGTCTATTTATAATTTTTTGGAAGTTGCATGAACAGTAAATAGGTAGAATATCAAGGACATGTTTGGAGTGTTTTGAATGGACGGCTTATATCAATTCCTTGATAACATAATTTGGCGATCGTTGGATTCGCCTTGTCGAGCCGCTCGATTCAACTATAAGCATGTCACATTTGGATGTCATTCGGTCATCTAATTTATGCTTTGAGCCTTTCAAATGTGATTCGAGCCCTCGATTTGGACCCATTTGAGTCGGATTGGGTCGAATTTGATGTCGTTGTTTTATCTTTTCAAGATGTTCAGTTTTTTCAGTTTGACTTTAATTTTTAAGTTTGTTGAAATCAGAGTTTGGATGGTCCTTATTTTAATTTTAAAAACTTCTAATTTAAATTTGACTCGAGATCCATGCCTGATCACAAAAATTATTTGATGACATATCAAATTTAAATAACAAATAAGATATTCACTTTTTTATTGAAAACCGTAGATCATAAATAAATTATTAAATTAAAAGTTTAATTGAATTTTCAGGCACATCACCATCAAATCTCCTGCGTTAATTACATTGGATTTGCGTAGCCAAACTGATAGCTTCAGAATATTAAATTATTAATATAAATATATAATACCTACTAAAGTCGCAAAATCAAATTTCTTTTCTGTTAAATTCAGTAACAGAAGGAAAACGGCGCACTGGCTTTCATTTTCTTTAATGTATATTTTAGGTCCCGTTTCATTGTGCGTAGAAACTGAAAACCCACCAGAGGCTCCGTTAAATTTCCGTCGCCTGCGCCGTTAAGTGATCTTCCCTCTGCGACGGGCTTCTCCAGAATCCGCTATTGCAAAATTTGGACCACACATCCTTCTCAAGCTGAACCAACTCCGCCGACGGCGATCTTACCGGCCACGAATCGCCGACCACCATCACGAGGGCGCTGCGTAAACCGGGGAACTCAGCAAACTCTTCATCCGAGAAGGATCCGATTTTGTTGGACGACCCGCTGCTTCTGTTATCCGATCCAGATCCCAAACTGGACCCGGAGTTCCATTCGGAGCTAGAACTGAGCAATTTCGCCTTCTTCTTAGATCGCCGGAGGAGGATACGCTTCCGGAGAACACGGTGTAAGAGTCCCGCCGGGAGCCGCACGACGGCGAGGATGATAAGGCTGATGAGACCGCAGGGGCAGCAGCAGCAGATCGCCGCGCACTCCGCCGTCTTCCCGCCAGCAAGTTCCGCAAAGCGAACGCTGGGCCGAGCTGAATCCTTAAGAATCACTGGCTGCCGCCGGCATGTCGCGGAAGTATCGGATCTGATGAGTTTAGCCTCGTCCCGCGCTGGCGCCCGAGGGGTTAAGGCCACGGGTCGGTGGTTGGTCATTCGCCCAATCGCCGTTCGCAATCAAAAGTAAAGACTTACGCCGATCATTTCCGGATGATTCGCTACGTCGATTTGGCTTCGATTCAAAATTCTAGTCGGCTTGGTTTTTTGTTATAAGCCCTAGATAAGTAAGAAGGCGGCCAGTTCGATCGCCGGAGAAAATTGGGGGTGGGAGACCCGGCGACTGGCGGCGGCGGCGGGTGATGGTGATGGAGGATTAAGGAGGTGGAACGAAGGGAGAAGACTGAATAAAAGTTATGTGAAATGCTTATGAAGGATTTGGGGCGACGGTTCTTGGCCGGCAACTGCGGTGGATTCGTTGGAACGGTCGACGGCGAGGGGAAGAGAGAGAGCGCGCGAGAATTGGGGAGTGCTGGGCCAGTTGGAATTTATAGGATCGTAACGGCAGATTTAAGCTATTTTTTTCTCTTACAGAGCCTTTGTAAGTTTTTAGTTGGATGTATTCTGGCAAGGCACGCAGTCTTCATGGTTAGGCCTATTCCAGCAGTTATTGAGTTCATTAGGTGTATTTATAATCTTTTAATTAATTAATTAATTAATTAATTAATTATAAATATTTAATTTATAAATGAATAAACATGAATGATTTTTATTTTTTATTTGTTTATAATTATGAATATTAGCAATTAAAGGTTGTGAATAAATAAAATTGTTAAATAACTTAATTAAGGTTTTATGATATGCACATTTAAGGTATGATTATAAATTTATTTAATATATAATTAGGTGAGAGTTTAGTCCTCTTCAATAATGTGTTATTTTTCATCAACAACATAAGCAACTTGTTTATGCTCTTTAAAAAATATATATTTATTTAGAGGCTATTTGGTTTGAATTGAAATGATGTAAAATATTATAAAAGGTAGTAGTTTTGAGAAAATTTGTATTTGATCTAAAGTAAAATAAATGTAGTATAAAATTTTGATGTATTTGAAATTCTTCATATTTGAATAATTTTTAAATTCAATATAAATTCACCATCACTGCCATCGGTTCAATCACCACCATCCTTCTCCGGCCGCCTCGGCCCACCACCACCCATTGCCCCACCTCCGGGCGCCACTGCTGCATATCACAAGCCGCCAACTGCAATCGCCAACGATCACCATTAGAGTTTATATTGTATTAATTTTTCTTCAAGCTAAATAAAAAAAAGAAATAACCTGCATTTATATATACTCATCCAAACAATTCCAAAACATTTAAAATACACTGTATTCCTACACAATATTCCTTTTTTCAACTAAACAAACAAACTCCTTAGTAGGGGTGTCAATTCGGGTCAACGGGTCTGGTTCGGGTCGGACCCGAAACTAACTCGTCACTATTCCGGTCAACCGAACCCGACCCGTTTCTAAAAACGGGTCAGATTTTCGGACCCGAACCCGGCCAGATTCGGGTCCGGGTCAACCCGACCCGACACGAATTTGCATGTTTGGCTGAAGCGGCGGCGGCGAGACAACGACTGGCAACAGCAGCGGCGGCGGAACGACAACAACAGCGCGGCGGACCGGCGGTGCGGCAGCAACAGCGCAGCGGCAGCACGGTGACAGCCTCGAAGGAGGCGAACTGGCAACTCGACGGAGTCGACGTGACTGGACGTGCGGACCGCGGGTCATTTCGCGGGCAGACGGAGTCGACGCGATTGGACGGCGTGGACGGCTGGACGCGTACGCGGCACGCGCGGGACATTTCGCGGGCAGGGCAGGCACGTCGGGCAGCAGAAATGGGCAGAAGCATTTCAGGGTCAATTCCGAGTCATTACCGAGTTTCTGGGTCAACCCGAACCCGACCCGAAACTCAAATCGTGTCAGATATTTGAACCCGAACCCGACCCGTTTGATAACCGGGTCGACCCGAACCCAAATTTTTCCGGGTCGGGTCGGGTCATGTCAAAAATTGACAGCTCTACTCCTTAGTAGTTCATGTAATTAAAATCTTAACTTTAAGCTAAATATGCTCTATAAAGCTTATCTAGTTAAATAAACAAGTTGCTCAATAGCATAAATATGATATGTTTATTAAGTTAGCTAATGATTTGAGCTCAAACAATCATATATTTAAATAAATTGAACTTTAACACAATAAAATAATCGAGTTGAGGTGGAGCTGGAGCTAGAGCTCCAACAAGATTTTCACAAATGGGCTCAAGCTCAAGCAAACTCCTACTCAGCTTAGCTTGGCTCATTTAAACCCCTACTTGTTTTCAATCCCTTAAATTCGCATTTAAATAAAAGAGATAAAGATTCTTTATTTAAAAAAGTTAATTGCAAATATTAAAAAATGTAATCTACTTATTGGTAGGTCATTAAAAAATAGCTTGATTGAGAACAAATCTTGATGCATTTTTATGTTGGAAACATATAGAATTAAATTCAAAGCCATACGATTCTGATTTTAATAAGCTTATAGAATAACTAAATATCTTGATGAGGCAAACTCATCAATACCAAAAGCGATCCAATTTGAATTCAAATGAACCCAAATCAAATACTTGAAGTAGAATTAGAAACTTTAGAATATTAATTAAATGATCAAATAATCTCAAAATTTTAAATGCTTATAGTAAAATACACTACAGGAAAAACGTCATTTTCCGGCGGCAATATTCGTCGGAAAATGGCCAAAATCTGTCAGAAAATTGCATTTCCGACGGATTTCCGGCGGAAATATTTGCGCCGGTTCCACGCGCGTCGTAAAAGGACTTCCGGCGCAAAATAATTCGTCGGAAACTTTTCCGGCGCTTTTCCGACGGAATTTCCGCTGGTAAAAATTTCCGTCGAAATTTTTATGCGCCGGAATGAAAAATTAAATTGTTGAATTCTAACATCATTAATATACTTAAATATTAAAAGAATATTCTATAGTCGATGAAATCAATATGAGTTATCCAATGGACTATTCCGTATCTTGATTATAGTTGTGGGCAGGGGTGTAAACGAGTCAAGTCTAGTCGAGTATTTGTGTAATCGAGCTAAGCTTATTTAGTTCTTACCAAGCTTGAGTTCAACTCGTTAAAAAAATTTTAAGCTTGAGCTCGACTTTTTAGTTATAAATTAAAATTTTATTTTTTTAGAATGTTTATTTTTAATATAGATTAATTTAAAATATTAAAATATATTATATGATGTTAATTTAAATTGATTTTTTTATATATTTTAAGTTAATCTAGCGGCTCAACTAACTTCCTAGCGAGCCTAGCTGAGCTTGAGCCCATTTAATACTCGAGCACGTGGCACAATAAGCTCGACTTGTAAGCTTATTAACAAGTTTAGCTCAAGGCGGCTTGTGAGTTGGCTTGACTCACACACCTGGTTGTGGGGTGTATCACTTTGAAATTTTTATAAATAAGCATAAGAGCTCAAAGGCTTTACAATTTTAATGGCTCCACTTGAGAGTCATCACCATCATACCAGTGCTTAATCGCCATTGTTTACCAAACACAATTCATTGACCACAATCATCTATCTAAAGTCCTTTGAACATTGTCACCCAATTATTCCTCAGAACAAATTTGTTCAATTACAATCATCCAACCATCACTGCCAATTACGATATTCCAACAAATATCGCCTAATTATGATCCTTCAATTAACATTGCTCTACAACGATTTTTTGACAACCAGCACACGATTATGGTCTGTCAGCCACTATTTTTCTACTATGCTCCTCACTAGTATCGCCCAACCAAAAAAGCTTCGACAACTATTTACCTGAACTCGGTCCTGTGACCATCATCGCTCGGCCATAATCCTCTTACAACTATCACCCTAACATAGTCCTCTGACCATCATCACTTGATCATGATCCTCTAACAACTATTATTCAACCATAGTTCACCAATTAACGTCATCCAATTTTGATTCTCCAAATATCATTACTTGAACACAATTATCATCAAACAATATTACTTTATTACGATCATCTGACCACCATCAGCCAACTATGATCCTCTAACTAATGTTGCCTAACCACCTCTTCTCCTTACTATTGCCTTCTGACTACAGTCACTCGACTATAGTCGTTCGACTGCCATTACTCAACTACGGTCCTCCAACCATCGACATTCAATTACCTTCCTTTGAGCTTCATCGCCATACTACAATCAATCCTTTGACCCCATTGCTCGACTACGATCATTTGATAAATGTTGCTTGATTACAATCCACCAACCACTGTGCCCAACTATTGTTCTCTAGATACTGTCACTCGACTAAGATTATTCAATCATCGTCACTTGATTATAGGCCTCCAACCTATCACTTGATACTTTTTTAATTTGAATTTGTTTTAAAAAAATTAAAAAAAAAAAACAAATAATAGAATATAGTCTATAAATACTATGTTTAATCAAATATTATTTACTTCTAGAATATATTTTAATGCGACATTTGATTTTTTGTAGTATATAAATACTCCTTATTAGGAAGAATTAGGGCAAGCAAATTTTTTTAATTGTTCTTTTTTAAAATATTTATTTTGTTGACTATCCGTAAGTATTTTATTATTTATTTCACTAAAAACTATATTCATCTTTTAAAAACTATTTAAAATTTAAATCAAATAATTTAATGCATATAAATATGAAAAAAAATTATATATTAATTTCTTAAAATAATTACTATTAAATATAGGCAAAAAAATATTCTGACACAAATTTTGTTTTTCATTTATCATTTTATCGGACTAATAATAAGCAAATATTTCGACCTCGTCAAGGAATATTGATCCAGCATTCAAGCGTAGCATCAACAGCTCCGTTTCTACTTAAAATGCTCCGCGGGACAAGGCATACATTAGGCTGGCCTAACAACGGCGCATTCTAGATGGGCGGCGCAGCCATGGCGTTGTACGGTGGTTATTTCTGTGGGGTCCAACTGACGTGGCGAGTGTATGGCTGAGTCAGACAACATTTGACCGACGAGCACTGACACGAGCGGCATGGGAGTGCTGACTAGACACGTGCGCCGGTTTTTCTTGTCGTTCGCTAGAGGTGACGTGCTCGCGTACATGAAAGCAGCTTTAATGGTGGGCTGTCGGCAGAGGCCATGCGGCCCATGCGCATTGTCTATTTTTTGGCTGCAACTAGACGAGGTAGATAACATTTAAAAATAAATATACGTTAATATAATAATATTATAAATTCATGGACGGTTACAAATTACATTAATTTAATATTTGAAATAAATGCGCAGATATAAATTTTTTTTAAAAAAAAAAAATTGGCGCAATATGCCCAATTTTTTGATAAAGATAAATTACAAGAAAAAACTAGTCAAAGCGAAAATAAAAATAGTAAAATCAAAAGCCACAATAGAATAAAGGGATTTTTACATACATAACACTTAAAATATTTCAAAATACATATTTAACACTCAAAGTATTATATTTACTAATATACCACTCAAATAACATTTATATACTTTGAAATACCACTCCGTTAACGGAGAGTTAAAACACTGTCCGAGGCGATCCCGTTCGTAGCTATTCCCGA